ATAAGCTTGTCTTCATATTTTCAAGAAAGTAGATAAACAAAATATGGTTGCAAAAGCAGTGGACTTCAGTGGAGGTGGACAAATACAATAATACAATTTCCCCGGGGAATTTCTATTAGAGACGTGTGAATTAATATATCCCATTATTTCTCATCTTTTATGATATATAGATGGGGAAAAAACCACATGATAGTAGCACAGAATACTTTCAACTGGAATGTCGCCCTGATAAATGCAAACTGACACGCGGTTTTAATTTGTTTGTTCTTGACTGGGAATCACAGCATGCAGAATCTTAATGAGCCATGGAGTAGCGATCACCAATCCCAGGCACGTTTATCTTGCATTGTGTTTGCTGCTTGTGGCAGCTCTTTAATTAGGGTATATCAGTACCCCACTCTGAAACAGTTTTTTGGTGGCTTCATAAAGGTATTAAGGTTACTACTGCATGCTCATACTGTTGCTGGACAGTAGACGTTCAGGTGATTCTGATGCAGGTAAGTCCATTTGTTCCTCTGTGCTCTGAGAAAGCCAGTAAATAAAATCTCACTTACTACAGAAGCTTTAAATAAGGCTGTCAGATAAGAATCAAATTTTCATACAGGTTAGGTACCATTTCCAGTTTTGTTTGAGGCTGAGGTGGAGTTAGTGCCTGGATTCTCAGGTGATAACATTTTACAAAGTGATCTTTTCATGTATCTGCCCCATGGTGGAAACCTGACAAGATCGGTTTTTCCTGAGACCCTACTGAGCCATTTTGCTGTCCCACCAGTTCACCATAGAGCTCATTGTGGAGGAGGGTTTGGCTCAATGTCATATTATAGCCTGGCTCTGCTGGGAAACAGCTACTAAAATTAAGCTATGGTTCAATCTGTTTGTTTCCCCATTCGACTTCTCCCTTTAGCTAGCCTTTGATGCAGACCTAATTATTCTCAGTAAATACCTGCCATCTTGAATTTCCTATACTCAGTACGATAAAATTCCTGCCAGCTTGGAACCATAATTTTTCCCTTTATCTGAGATTCTCAAGCTTTGCACATAGTTTGGAGCAGGCTTGCAAGATCCCAGGAAGGGAGGATTAGAGTTTAACTGCTGAACTGAGATTCTCTCTTCTGCTCAGAGCTAATCCTGGGTGCTGTTACATAGGCTGGATTCTAACACCGTTGGTTTGAATGTTACTCGTCTCCTTGCCATCCCTTTACTGACTCCTCTGTTGTAAGAAATACAAGCTGCTTGTTTTCACTCTCAGGGACCTCGATGCCTACTGGAACTGTCTTCATGATCTCTCACAAGAATGTCCAGTGGTCGATATCTACTTCCCATCAGTCCATCATGACAGCAAACATCACTCATTACATTTTCAAGTCTATTTGTGCTTCCTCACAAGCTATCCTCACACTCTTGGAGGAACTCTTCATCTACATCTATCACTATATTTCCTTGATGTCTTTCAGTTCCCTGCTACAAATCTCCTTTGTCTACAAAAAAATTATGATTAAGCATAGACTGCTGGCTGCTGTTTGGTCATTGTTTCCTTCTAAGTTACTATCAGTCTGTTGTCTGTCTTTTTGTATGTTTTTCATAAGCTTTTGGGTGCAGAAAAAAGGGAATTGGGTCTTTTTTTTCCCTGTAAGTTTATAAAACTCTAAATATGACAGAATTACTAGAATTTCTAGGCTGTATGCATGACAAGCACAATAAATGGCAACACGGCATATCACTCCACAGAGCAAGTTAACCTTACATATTCAAATGTTCAGTTGTAATAAATGAACATAGCTCCTTCCAGCCAAATGCAACTCTGGCCCAGGGTATTTGCCTTCTAAGTTATTATTTTTAATATGGGTCCAGATGATAGCAGTTTAAATAAAGTACTGAACTCATCTATTTTATTCTTAATTTATGGTGGTGCTTAGGGGATATGCAGATATTTAAAAAGAGGAAAATCAATTAACTTGTGATCCAATTATTTATGTTAGCCACTATGGGGTTTTATTTTAGAGCACTGGATCAGACTCTCCCAGTTAAGCACCGTGCTTTGAGAATGTAAACCTTTCATTTTGAAATATGATGAAGCTGTGGTTATTTTTTCTCTATTTGCAAATTAATTCCTATTTTTGTCCTTTCATAGTTTTTAAATTCCCTTCTTTACTTTTGTTTTTGAAAGAGGCCCAGTATAAATATAACAGATTTTTCTAAATACTAGGAAGTCTGTTCTTTATATAAAGGTGGCTGAACAGGCAAAAGAGTTCACCTTCTAGATAATATACACTATATTTTTCTGGACCTCTGTATTTCATAGTAGATACTTGTCTTTTGCAATCACAAATCTGTGATTTATTCACTTTTCACCTTATAAATTTAGAGTAGACCCATGTGACGACAACTATGGTTTGATCATTCTGCTTTTTCATCCATCTTGAACAGATTTTAGTCTAATGTTCCAGACAGCTTCAAGTACCCTCTGTGTTTATATGGTCATTTCTAAAATGCAAAGAATGCTAGGGGTGAGTGTACTACTATGCTTGGAATTATTTAGCTTGGCACAGCCTTTGCCTCTAGATATTGTCATTTCCTTGATCTCCAGGTGTCAGAAGCTCTGCAGTTTTATGCCCCCAGCAAGTCTATGTGCCTTTTCTGCACTACTAACTCACTGCAATTGAAGCCACTGAGAGCCCTTCCTAAATAAGTAGAAAATAGGAACACAGAAGAAAGCCAACCCCAGCTGAGATAGCCTTGAATTAGATATCCTTAAACTGACATTCAGTATTTTTTGAACTAGCTGGCACATCGTGGCAACCTTTTCCATCATAGTCTGGCATTGGTGGTGTAGGCATAATAAATTTAGCTCACTGGCTTCACAATTATGTATCTGAATAAAATAGCCAGATTTTGAAATATTTTACCCTAACAGGTCTTACTGTTCCCAAGGTGATCCAGGGAGTATTGAACACTTAATTGAATCAGACTAGTGGATTAAGGCAAAGATTTTTCAGAAGGATCAATATGAATTAGGAGCAGATGCCCAGTCAATTCTAAGGGTTAGATTCTTTAGGATTAGGTTCCCTAAGTCTAGTCACCTTTTTACATAGCTAAATAGGAATTGTTTGGTACTGAATACTTGTTCGGAAAAATTCTGGCCCTTCTGGTTCTGATGTCTCGTTTTATACATGCTCAAGCTGAGACAATATGAAATAATACAAAAATATCCATCGAGCTAATCTCTTATTTTCAATCAAAGTAAGAGGTGTCTAAGTGTGCTTTCCAGTGACAGAATTTTGCTGAGCAGGAAGGAATACAAACTTAGTAATAATTCCTGTTATTTCCAAGATTCTTAATAGAGCTTTTCTTTTGATTTGTTTCAAAGCAAGCAAAAATATTGTTATATTATTGTCTAGAGTTAATTAAACTGCAAATGAGCTTAATGATCTGTCTCAATCACAACCTGCTACGTATTAACTACCAAAATCAAAAGAATCTTTACATTATTTGTTAAACATACCAAAGAAGACAGAAATAGCCAATCATTAATGTCATCCTTTTATAAAATCAAGTTTGAGGCTGGGAAGCTTGAACTGAATGCACACACTCAAATTATACAGCTAAATTCAAAAAGGGTTTGAAAACAAGTCAAATCTATTGGAAGAAATGAGAAAAAAGATAACTGAACACAGGAAAAGATGTAGTTGTCTCCTCTGTATTTTACTATGAGGAAATCCATTTTACCTACTGTTTGTCCAGATTGTGAAATCTATATATTAATAAAATGCCATTTTCTGGATTCTGTATTCTCACAAAATCTTCCGTAGTGTTATGACTTCACGTGGTCTGTTAGACAGAACAAAAGACATTTAGTCTATTCAGGTCTTGAAGCCACTTGGGTGATTTCTTCCCTTGAGTGATATAATGTCACCGACAATGTACCTTTTAAGCAGTGCACGTACGGCAAAGCCTATTTGTGTCATTAAAGTTTGTAATTTTGGACTTTCGAAGGCTTAATCCCTAGAAATGCTAAGATTTCCTAATGATCTATAATGGTACTGCTGATGTTCAGCACTTCTTGGGATTAGGGACGTTATCACTCTGGTTTATCCACCTATAAAGTAGGTATTATCTTATCACTCTTATATACAGTGCTTTTAGCATGTCAGCCTCAAGTACTTGAAAGGTGAGGAGTATTATTAAGTCTGACCCTTACAAGCTTTTCCAATGATTTGCTTGATGTTTTTCCTACATAAACAAGAATGATGTTATACACTGTTTGTCTGGATAGTAAATTAGAGAGAATTTTCTCATAGCTGAATAGTACAGCAGTGCAACAAACTTCACAAGGTCATAAAAAATTCTCCCACTGAAAAAAGAAAGTAACACTGACTTATAGTTATGCAGACAAAGTGGTAGCATGAGGTCCAATTATTTCTGAGTCTCTTAGAGCAACCGCTCAAAAAAACAGTATGGGAGCACTTTTTGTGAAAAATGTTTTATGTATTGAAAACAGTGTAGTGAAAAATTAATAAGGGTGGGGTAATTATGAAAATAATAGTCTAAAATGCAAAACTGGATTATTTTGTAAATAATAGTACATTCGAGGGCAAGAATGGGCTATATTACTCAGCCTCCCCTTCTGTTCAGCTATGCGTATAGTTCCCTCTCTGATAGCATGTGCGCCTATGCAACACTGTATATATTTTCAGGATTCACTTTTCCAGTAACATAAGATGAACTGTTGTCTTGTGATCAGAATCCTCCAAAGCTTGATTCCTATCACATTGCTGCTTATCTGCCATCTATTTAGTGGAGAGCAGCTGTAATGTGCTACGTTATATTTCACGAGTGGGAATGTATGATTTGGAACCTGCAACATTCAGTTTCAGTCAAGGCTTACATCTTTCTCCCATGGTGGTAAAAATTAATGCTGGCTTGGATATCTTTTTTTTTTTTTGTATGTGTGTGTGGTCGTTAATTGAAAATAGTAACAATTTCCTCTGGTTTTTTTCTAGTTTCAAGCCACAGTAAAGGAGGGAGTCACAGGTGTAATAGTAAATTTAACCGTCGGTGACCGAGATGACCCAGCAACTGGAGCATGGAGAGCTGTCTACACCATTATTAATGGAAATCCAGGGCAGAGTTTTGAAATCCATACCAATCCCCAGACTAATGAGGGAATGCTCTCTGTTGTCAAAGTAAGAACAATCTCCTGTTGCACTGCATTATTACTGTAAGCTCCACCCACTGGATTTACTGCATAAGAGAAGGTGCCGCAAGGATAAGTTACTCAAAACTATAGTGTTGGCTACAAGCCCTTGTCCAAACAGTATGTATAAGCCCTTTGTCTGTCACAGTAACGTTACTTCTTTAGTCGTAAGGACCTGCCTGTTGCTAACTATATTGTCATTGTGCTTAAATAACAGCTAGTTTTGCAGTAAGCATCACAATTAATAGGGACATTTTACAACACGGTTTTGTTTGTGACCGAGGGTACAATTAGAATTCAAGGGCCACATTTTGCTCTCAGAGAACACAGATGCAAATACCAGGGAAGTCAGGGATGTGGCTTCAGACTGAACTGGAGAGCTGCCTTTGGTCCCACACATCTAAAGTCTCATGAAAAAAAATTATTACCTGTCTTTGTATGAAGATAAACCTATATCCCACCTATATATTTCAATCCCCGTATTGAAAAAAAAAAAAAAGAAAATAGTACTGTTGCTGCCCATACCAGAATTTTTTTCTGTTTGACTTCAAAAGAGGTGTTTTCAATTCTAAAGACAAATGGAAAGTTTTTCCACGGCAGCACTTTTGATTTCAAGGTAGGAGTTGAGAAAATATCCTTATCTTACTTACCATAACTAGATACTAAGTACAACTCCGATTTGTCTGCTAAATGCATATTACATCATAAATAAGCATGTTTATACGAGAATTAAATTATACCTATGAGGTATGGCAAAAAGGTACACACTCTTGGATAGAGGGACATCTCCATCTTTCATTAAGTCCATTAAGTTCATTATCTTCAATGCACTTCATAACTACCATTGTGTCTAATGCTGAACTCTGACCAAGTATCAGATGTGACGAATGCTGTTGCCCCTTTCTGGCTAATTCTCTCTTCTGCTAGTTTGTAGTGGGGTTCAAGGAAGGAGTGTTAAGTATTGTCTTTGCACCTTGCACTCTGATTTTATGATATGTTTTACAGCCTTTAGACTATGAGATTTCGGCGTTTCACACATTGCTGATCAAAGTAGAAAATGAAGACCCACTGATTCCAGACATAGCCTATGGCCCCAGTTCCACAGCAACAGTTCAGATCACTGTTGAGGATGTGAATGAAGGCCCGGTTTTCCACCCGAACCCCATGACAGTGACAAAACAAGAAAACATCCCTATTGGCAGTGTTGTGTTAACGGTAAATGCCACTGATCCAGACACTTTGCAACATCAGACTATCAGGTGAGTGCAGTACCCTCTAATTTTCATCCCTCAGAAAGTGAGTATGTCTTTTGTGCCTGAGAATTTGCCTGCCAGTACAGCATTAAATTGTTTGGGCTCTACATAATAAGTGGTATTTTGTTTTTCCTACAATGAAGAGATTCAGCATGATGAAAACAAAGAACTGCATTAGACAGGGGGCAATAGTTTTCCAGGCTTTGAGGTTACTGCAGTAGAACAATCGAGTGTCATAAGCAATAGGCATAGCTTTGCGTAGTGTTTCAAAATTACTTTTAACCAGCTTGTTTATTCCTCTTCCTTCATGACAGCCAGAGAAAACGTGTAAAAATTGAAAATGTGTATAGAAATAATTTACGGTTTACATATGGATTGAGTCAGTTTATGACCATTTATAATGTCCCTCAGTGAAATAATGACCATCCATCCATGTTCAAGGGCTGAGAAAATATTTCCCAGTGAAACACTGAAGCTACAGTAAGCTAAGACTTGGCCTTGCCCAGATAGATGAAAGTAAATTATTATTTCTGTGCAATGATAATGTAATCCCACACATGTGCCATGTCGCAAGAAGCAAACCTAGGTATTAAATGGTGCCATCATCTTATATTTTGATCCACCTGGTCTGGTCTTTTGTTTTTAGATTTGTTGAAAAATGAAAGATCGACCGCTTGCTTCTCTAACACTAAACTGACTTTCCAGACAGCTTTTCTCAGCCTTTGAGAACTGCAGGTTAGGCACTAAAACTAAAAGCTACATCTGTGCTTAATTTTTCATTCTTACTTGTGAGTCTAATTTCCCCTAGATATCAATGTATATAAAAGGGCATAAACATCTTTCTGAGAATGACTTCAAAGCTTTACCTGAACAATGTGCACTGTCAGTCTATACCATGGAGGTAGATTTCTTTACTATCACAGGATTATTTAGCAGTGATTGTGCACTTCTTAAAGAAGGTCTGACATATGTACTGTTCTACAAAAATAGAAAGCTACTGATCTTGGAGATGTTCTCTGTCAGATACAAATGTTAGTAAGCATGCCATTGCAAAGGACTGCACTGACAGCCTTGGATTTGAACAATGAGAAGGTGAATTTAAGCAGGTGAGTGTGCTCATCGCCAAGGAAGGAGGAAAAAGGCAAGGCAGATAATGAAAAGTTTCAATTCTCTGCATCACCTCAAAAATACCTAGTTAATGGATCATGAATAGTTCAGTTTTTCTCTATCAAAAATGCCTTTGAGTTCTGCCATTGAAATAATCAGTTCATCTGAAGGATTTCTTGGCATATATCATTCCCCTTGTTTTCTATATTTATTTATTTACAGAATGCATTTTTATTCTTAATTTTAGTTTTTGCTCCAAAGGATTCCTTATTTCATTCACTGTGGTCACACAGATTTGTCTATGGATGGAAAAACTATGGAATTTCTATTGCTTGTCAGATACATCAATATGGCCCTCAGCAGCATTACTCAGAACCTGTTTTTTTAAATGATATTTATTCCCTTTGGGGTTGGCACTGAGCTTAAGAAACATAATTATTGAAGTTCTCCATGACTTTATGTATTTTCATGGGAGATAAATTATATTATTTATTGTAACAGTTGATTGAGTGATGCTAAAAGAGAAAAGCCAAGGAAATATAAGGATTTGGTTTTCAAAACCAACAATCCAGAAACTATTATCTGAATTTTTCCCCTTGACCTACTGATTTTGCTGAATTTCTCCTAACTACATTGGCGCTGAAATTATAGGACATACCAGTGAGTCACTGAAAACTCAAAGTTAGCTTTAAGTATTGTGGGTAACCAGCTAAGTAACATAAACACTTTTTGCAGTCCACCACATCTCACAACTGGCTGCAAAAGAACTCTCAAATCTTGACTATAACTAGCTCATAATCTATAAGTTAGAAGAAAATAAAGCAAGTGTAACGGAAATCTGGGAAATAGCAGAATGATTCAGGAAAGGCTATTTTGACTACTTGTATGTCCTTCTTTTGCTAAAATAACAGGAAAGCATAAAATAGCATTTTTTTAAAGACGCTTTTAACACTGACAGGTATTGTTGAAACACATAGCTACTAGCAGTGAAAAAGGAAGACTGTAGTATATGAGAACAGCATCTGCAATTAAGGATAGTGTAAAATTGCATGTATAAAGGCCAAAGCTACTCACTGGTTTGGGTCTGGCAGAAACGTTTTCTTGCAAGTTCCTACAGGCAGGTGTGTGTTTAGAGTTCGGGCCTAGGTCCAGGCCTTTTATAGAATGTATACCAAACTACATGGTTCTCTCACTATGCTGCTACAAATTACATCATCAGAGTCCTTACTATGATTGTACTCGTAAAATAAAGGCCAAGCAGGCACAATACAGACTTTTAAATGACATATTACACTAAATAACGATGACCACAAGCAAGCAATGTTTTGTGTCTGCAAGAAGCAATGAATACCAGATTTGTATTGTGTGTGCTGTGTGAACAATGTACATTACCCCCAACAAAGTATATGTCTGTTCAAAATGTACAGACGGATACAAGCAAAAGAACAATAGAAAATTAGTAATGATACTTTTTTCTATTTTCAACCTATGACAACTGAGATATTTCTAACTGCAGGCATATTTTTAGTTAGTTTTCTATATAAAATTTGTAGGACGTGGTGATGATTATTTGCAATCAGGAAATTTAATTACTTTACTAGATATAACATCATAAATGCATTTCAAGAACCATGAATAGTGTAAACCATTTGTGCCATTGTCCACATCTAGATTGAATTTATTCTTTGAACATTGCATATCTGAATCAGATTCAAATTATTTATCTCTTTGAAAAACATGGCTGGCTTTGAAAAAATTCCTAAAGACAGCTGTACTTTTGAAGCAATTTTCTTTCCTATTCTTCATCTTGAAGTGTTTTTGCAGTCTGAGAAAGAATTTCATTTAAAAGCTCAAACAGGCTGGCAAAAATGTATTACACTGAAAAAAAAAATGACTCCAAGTATTTGTAAGACTCACAAGCACGTACCTTGAGCTCTAGCTACTTGTCTGCACACGATTAGCAGTGAACTTCTATGGTGTCAGCTCTTCTCTGATCTACTGACGTTAACATTTCAAAGAAACTCAAGGTAGAGGTAGAAACATCATCCTGGAAACAAGAAATGCATGCTCCTATTGACCAGCTGAATAATGTAGGCATCAGGCTTAATCTTACTCTAAGTTATACCTGTTTAAAGCTAGGTTAACACTGACTTTCACAACTATACCCAGATCTATGATTTTCTATGAAAAGTTTGCAATGAGTATAGTGAGCTTTGGACTATGGATGTTGTAGAAAGGAAGGTGCAGACAGAAGCAGTGGTACCTTTGGGTGGAAAGTAACATTTGTTCCGCTGTGAACATTCCCAGAAAGAGAAGGAGCCTATTCAAGTTGGACCACATTTCTTAGATTCATTAACCTATTTTTTTTTAAGCATTAAATCTCTCTACAGTTTCCAACTTTTTTAGAATTAAAAAAGTAAAGAAATCCAGCAGGCCCCATTTTAATTATAACCCAACAATTTATTAATAGAACAGTAATGAAGTTTCTGAAATTTGATTTCTTAATCAGGGATCATTGTTATTTTTGTGCCAGATTTAAGAGTTTAATTTTGGGTGCTTCCTCCCAACCTCTGAAATTTTAATCAGAAGTTTCAAGTGTACATGTCAATGAGAAGTTAAAGGCCAAATTTAATAACATTTTCTACCTTGGGAAATTAAAAGAAGAGCCTCACTCTCTGAAATCCATTATTAACAGTAGATCTTAATTAAACACCGTTATGATCCTCAATATTTTGTCTGTGTGAGGAGATTGGTTTCAGTATTTTTTTTTTCCTTTTTTGGATTCAACAATTCCAGGATATTCAATAGTTAGACTTTTAACTATGTGTAAATAAGTTGTTTACTGCAGTGTATTTGTAATTTTTAATTAAAGCAACGTTGTTCTCTGGTTTCATGGTTTATCATGGCAATGTATTTTTATTACCTACTGTGCTCTTGGATTTTAAATTATTTATGTAAATATATTATTGCGGTATTTACTCTCAGTAAGCAATGTGACTCAATGCTTCAGAAATATCTTCACAAGAGAAGTTTATTATAGCTCTAAAGCTTATCTAATTCATTAAGTAGAATTAAAATGCAGTATTTGAAGCTAGAGAACTTAGAAATGGAACCCAAACTGCAGTGAGTTTCATGGGAATATGAAAGACTGCCAAAAATATCTGAAGCGATATATGTAAATAAGATATATGTATTTTTGTGTGTGTGTGTCTGTGTATGTGTGTGTAATTTTTTTATCTGCACCTGAATCCAGCTGACCCCACATAGTATAAGTGGCTTCTGGAAGCATAGATACATTGTCTTAGTGGTGAAGTCTCAACTGTTGTAATTTGAAAACCAATTTTCTGCTTGGAAGTTGACGTCCTTTTATTTGATTCTGGTCTCCTTGTATCACCAAATCATTAATTTAGTGGAATTATACAAATATGAAACTAGTAAATCTCTATTTGTTTGAGATTAGTAATTTCAGATTAGAATAGCCCATGATGGATCCAGCTACCCAGCTGCCTGTTAACCCGCAGACCGGAAATTCAACTGCTACAGCACTGCCATTTACTGGCTGTGTGTTTGATAGCTCTGCTAGTCTGTAAATGGGAGCAAAGTCATATTTATTATTGCCATCATTTCCAAATAACATCTACTGGTCTATCTGAAAAGTGGATAAACTCTGTTTCTCTTTCCATAAAGTGCATTTTTCTATACTGCAGACTAAGTGTATATATTAATGAGGCTTCATCCTTGGACATCAGACCATGGGGATGATAAGGCTGAACCTAACAGATACTGAATTAAAAGTGATCATGTTTGTTTATTGGTCATTTCACCAACAGCCACTGGACAATGGGCTGGCCCTTGACTTTGGGAACAGGAACATTTACTCCTGGGCCACATTTTGCTTT